AAACATCTCAGATGACGACATTTCATCAGTTCCATGTTGAAATCTCAAAGCAATTACTCATCTTTTGATGCCAGGGTGTCAGTTTGAGGTTCAAACTAAAGAAACGCAGGACGAGTAAAGGGCACCGCCTGGTGGACAAATAGTTGTATAACTTTCTCTGACCAGTAAAGGCTGACCTAGTGGTGATAACTGTGTCACAACATTGGTCACAAGATCACAAGATGACAAATGTCTCTTAAAATAAGTTAATCACACCCACACATTTAAATACCTTTATGTCATATCTCTTCTTTGGGAGTTTAGGGGACAGGCTGCCTCACTTACATACCTCAGACTGAGCTGTTAAACCTCTGACAAATGCAACTAATGACATCAAGGATTTCCATTAATTATTTCATGTCAAAGATGCTCATTTAATGGACATTTTCCCTTAAAGGTTCAGTGTGTAGGATTAAGGGGAGATGTATTGGCAGAGATGGGATATAATCCAATCCAATCCAACTTTATTTGCAAAGCACTTTCAAACAACCGCAGAGTGCCAAAGTGTTGATATAGTACGTATATAATATAATAAGTACATTTTCTTAAGTGTATAATCACTTGAAAATAAGATTGTTGTGCTTTTGTTGCCTTAGAATGAGCTGTTTATATCCACAAAGGCAGCAGGCCCTCATCTACAGATCACCGTGTTGTACCACCATGTTTTTACAGTAGCCCAGAAAGAACAAACTAAACATTGGCTCTAGTTAGAGCCATTTGTGTTTTTGTGTTGAGCACCATAGTTAGAAGCCCCTCTGCGACAAGCAAACACCAGAAAACACCAGATTTTTTAACTTAAAACTGCTTTATTTGGTGTTTTTAATGGCTTTAATCACCTGCTTTCTTTGTTTTGGAGTGGAAGAGACCTCTGCAGATAATCTGGCTCCTGGTAAAAATCTCCTGAACAATGAACACTGAAGGAATTCTAACCAGGAGAACACAAAATCTTTCTAAATCTTACACACTCCTCCATTAAGTTAAATATCAAAGATTGTAAAATGATAAGTATGATTCTGTTTGCTGGTGCTACCAAGCATGATGAAAAGTTGGCAATCATCCATCTCTGTTCAGCAATAAACAAAGCTCTAAAACACAGCGTGTTACCAGAGTTGTTAGCAGTCGGTTGGTTGATTTAGCACTTAAGCTGAAACAATTTGTGTGGCATTAATCATCTGCAAAACAATGACAAATGGGACCAAAGTGCAGGCATTCAATTTAAAACTAACAAATGAAATGACTCATGAATCTCACAGCGTGGGGGTGTCTGTTCACATAATGCCGCACTTTTCTCCCAGCTGTTCTTTCCCTCCGTTTCCCCTGATCAGCATTTCAGAGAACAGTAAAAGGAGAAAGCAATAAGGGTGTACATAACACTACGAGCATATGCTACATATTACAATCCAGCCACAATGATAGTATAAGTTTAATGCACTATAATTTTGAGCATTTTAAACCCTTAAAAGGTTGAGTTTTTAAAAGTATTTTTGTATTTGGACTAAACATGGACTGCCCTGGGCTGTATACAGGTGTTGTACATTTGATCCCAGTAGAAAGAACTTAAGTGGAGGGGACATTCAGTCTCCAGAGGCTCCCATGACTATCAGCAGTGTTGCAGTATTGCATTGCAGTATTAAAGAACCCCACCCCGTTTGGATTTTTGCAGCCAAAGCATGTGTCATTCTGCAAGCATCTCTGACCACTGCAGAGAGCCCGGAGCACTTCCACTTCTAACATGGAGATGAGGAGAGGGTCAGGCACAAACAGAAGCATAATGGATTTCTTTATGAGTGAGGCTGCATGAGCTTTTCATTACTGTGAGGACGGCAGCAGCAGCAGCAGCAGCAGCAGCATTTTAAGGTTGTTATTCAAAAACTCAGGAAAGTTATCTAAAGCTGAGTGTGTTTCATATGCATTAAAACATATATATATTTCATAAAACATATGTTTTCATATGCATTAAAACATATTTTATGAAATGTACACATTGTGATGATTCATTAGAATGGTAAAAATATAAAGCTGTGGCACACACATGCAACCCTGTAATTCTATACTAATGAGGACCTTCATTGACATCATGCACTCTCTAGCCTCCCACCCTCAGCTTAAAGGGACAGTTCACCCCAAAATCAAAAATACACATTTTTCCTCTTACCTGTAGTGCTGTTTGTCAGCCTAAATTGTTCTGGTGTGAGCTTCTGAGTGTTGAAGATAGCGACTACTACATGGCACTTGATATTTGGTGCTCAAAAAAATACTTTTGAAAAACTCAACAGCAATGTCTCTTTCCAGAAATCATGACCTAGTTACTCAAGATAATCCACAGACCTTGGTGTGGGCAATTTCATGTAGGAACTATTTTCTTTCTACCAAACTACCACCAATGGTATCACCGCACAGAAAGAAGTGTGCACCTACTGCTAGCTCACCTAGCATCACTAAGCTAGCTAACGTGTAGATTAGTAGAAAGAAAATAGTCCCTACATGAAACTGCTCACAACAAGGTCTGTGGATTATCTTGGGTAACTGAGTCATGATTTCTGGAAAGAGACATTTTTGTCGAGTTTTTCAAATGTAATTTCTGGGCACTTTGAGCACCACAGTCTGAGTGCCATTGAGTTCCTTTATCTTTAAGAGAAGACGGCGGATATCTTCAACACACTGCAACTCACACCAAAACAATTTAGATTGATAGTAGGGGTGGGAATCACCAGAGGATCAATGATACAATATTTTCATGATACTTAAGTTGCAATACAATACTACTGCGATTTGAAATATGCTGTGATATGTTGAGTATTGCGATAAAATATATTGTGATATATTGCAATTTATTACCTGTTTTCAACTGTAAATCATGTCTGCAGAGCAAAACTTTGTCAACATCTGTTTTATGCAATAAGATAAAGTTTCCAGTCTGTTCATCTCACTTCAGCCATTTTTTTTTGCAGCAGCAAACTGTATGCAGTGGACTGAATAATAATTTATATAATAAAAAATTGATACTTGGCACTGTGGAATGATGATGATGATATTGCCACACAAAAATATTGCAATGCTTTGCTGTATTGATTTTTCCCCCACCCCTAATAAATAGCACGACAGGTAAGAGGAAAAATATGTATATGTATAGATATAACCCGAAACACCTACACCTTTATTTCAGCCAAAGTCTACCCTGAACCTTACAACTAAATCTGAACCCTCAAACAGGCCTTTGATGGTCTATCCAAAGGTGAGAAGCAGCCAAAATGTCCTCACTCTCATGGGCAAAAACCCAAATTGGTTCTCACAAAGATAGACGTGAAAGTACACACACACACACACACACACACACACACACTGTAAATGAATACAGAGTACAGTGACACACCCCCAGACTAAATGCCTTGGTCTGCGTGAATGTTTTTTTCAGGGACACCTCAGTGGTGATGACATGCCGGAGAGCAGGAGCCACAACCTCTAGCTTTGAGTAACACACACATGCGTGCGCGTTCACACACACACACACACACACACGCACGATCCACGCAGGAAGGGACGGGAGCAGGTGGCAAGCCAGGGGTATGCTCTGGTTCTGGCAGGGTATTTTTAACCTGCATGAGTAGGGGCCGTCACCTCTAAACAGCTATGAAAATGCTGAAAATAGGTGCGGGAATGAGTGTGTGTGTGTGTGTGTGTGTCTGTGTGTGAGAGAGAGAGAGAGAAACACACACACACACACACACACACACACAGACAGACAGACAGACAGACAGAGAAGAAAACACACTACAAACAACATTAAGAACTCCTGGACTGTTTGCATGTATGACATATTTCATTCCTCTCCACTGCAGAGTCCACCCATTCAGTTGGGACTATGTTATCATAATTTGGCATGGTCAGACACACACACACACACACACACACACACACACACACACTAAGAAATTCAGACAGACACACACAATCAGAGCTTTAGGGGATTTGAAGCCACATGTGATCTGAGTAATGTTTTTGTTCCAGCAAGATCCAGGAGTTCACTTGCAGAGCTGTGTGAAAACAAAGTGACATTACTTCAAATAAATGCTCCTATCTTTGTCCTTTCACTCTGACGTATAACATGCCGGAGTATGATTTACCCTGACATGTGAGAACACACACATTCTGGTGCGTAGCCTCGGTGCTACACCAACAGACACTTTTTATTTTAAGTCTCTATAAAAACCCTCCAGAGGCTTTACGTGGCTTCCTCCTAAATCCATACATGCTCCTAAATAGAGCCGGCAGCCAGGCAGACGACGGGTCAGAACCGGACAGTAACTTATACCACTTCCTCTTGACCCCAGAGAGACATGATTAAGAGGGATCAAGTGGGTCGTCCACCACTGTCTGTGTCTATTTTTTCCACGTTTATTGCCAATGATCCCATTGTACGCAGCGGGGATGACAAATTTACAAGGACATTAAAATCGCACTTTTAAAAAATCTCATTAACATAACTAGTGTGTGCAACTCACACTTCTGATGCAGGTCTAAATTGGACCTGCAAAACACATGTTTATCTTCTGGTATGCGAGCATGTGCGGCATGAGATGCTTCTGTTCTATTAAACGATGGCAAAAACACAGAGGAGGGATATTTCGTAAGAGAGAAAGGCTTTGGAGTCATCCAATTTGGAAATGTAGTGGTAATTCTTTGGATTCCTTTGGTTGATAGTGCGCAGTGAATGAAGTGTAGAACAATTAAACAAAGTCCAGCATCTCCTGCTGAAAAAAAGACAAACCCTGAGCTGTGTTCACGGCTATTTGAAACAACTGCATTAGTGTAATAACATCCACCAGGACCATCATGTGTTGGTTCTATCAATCATGTGCTTTGTTTATACTCAAACTGCAAACAGCTCTCTCCTTACAGCGAGACCTTTCTGCCATGTTCAACCAGATTTACGGTGACCTAAAGAGTAGTCATTCACTTACCTCAGCAAGTTGAAGGATCTCCGGATGCACCTCAGGGTCCGCCTTTATGGGGATTCCTCCTGTGTCAGTATCAGGTCCATGTATCTTCATCCTGCCGGCGCTCGTGCTGTGAATGCACCCCATACCTCCAGCAGACACCTCTTTTGCCCTGTATCTTAAGTTTCCTCAACCCTTATCCGCTCTTTCAACATGCAAGTGCTTTGCTCCAGAAGGTCCTCCTCTCTTCTCCTCCTCTCAGTGCTTCATGTTTTGATGGGTCTCCTTACTTTTCTGCGACAGCTAACGTCTTCCCCAGCATGTTCCTTCTTTCTCCCAGTGACTCCTCACACCTCTGCCCGTCTCTCTGACAGCTTGTCCTGCCTTGGAATCCACCCCAGATGACTTTTTTCCCCCTCCTTTCCCCTCCTCTCTTCTTACAACCTCTCTTTCACCCCTCCAGAAAGTGTCACCAAGCACAGACCCTCTCCTCTTACACTCTTCCCTGTCCCTTGCTCCCTGGCTATCCTCACTCTCAAAGCATGCAAACGCACACTCACCACCTCTCTCTTCCCTGCCCCCTTTCCACTTGCCAATACCTTCGTCTCTTCCCCTCGCCTCTACAGACCCTCAAATGCCTCGTACGCCGCTCTCTCCCGCTGCACACTTACAGACCCTCCACTCTTCCCCTCCCTCTCTTGCTCCATCAGGCTCCTCTTGCTGTCTCTCCATGGGGGAGAAGGGGGCAGCTGTTTTGGCTTGTTGATGTCAGGCCCTTCCCCTTTCCTTTGGCTTCACTTCAGCCCCTCTCACTCTCCTCTTCCTCATGGGGGAGTGATTAGATAGAGCTTCTTTCACACACGTCATCCCTCTAGACTCTGTAACTTTGCACATGAGAACATACTGTTGTAGGCTTGATCCCACTTCTTCCTCCTGTCGGCTTGTGAGGATGTGTTTCACTGTTTGGGTTTTTAGTAAACAGGATCTCTGCATCTCCCTCGGATGGGAAAATGCAAAATGTAATGACTTCCGAGACCCAGTTTGATCAGACACATGACAACATTAATGTCCTCTCTTTTAATCCCTCACTTGCTTTCCACTGAAATGAAAACAATGATAGGCTCTGTGCTTAAATCTCAGATCTGCTTCTCCCCTCATTGAATTCTTTCAGCTCTCCCTCTGTAACACACACACACACACACACACACACACACACACACACATAACTGTGTTTCCCCAAACTGGGTTCTCCAGACAAAATACTGCTTGAAGCTGGAGGTTTTAGGGTTGTGAGGGGAAAAATCTCCAACAATAAGCTCTTTCTAAAACCATGTTTCTGGCCTCCGGGTACAGCGTACAAAGCCGTCCTTGGTTTAAAGTGAGACAAATCTGTGGCTGCGAGCTAAATTAGGCGACAAAACCATCACCATGCATTAATAAGAGCACAAGTAAAATCCTCAGCAACCTCACAGTTGCCTCTGTCTTACAGCTCCAGTGACGACATCAGCTGACACTGTGTAGTTGACCGTGACAGATTATATGTATTTAAAATGACTGCATGATGATTGCAAATTTCACTTGATACATCACTGAGGGACCTAGATGACGCAAACCCGAGTCATGTTGTGGCTTGAAGTGGAAGGAAGGACCCTCCTGTGTGGACCAGCTGCTGACTCACATGGCAACAGGGGTGGGGGCGAGTGGTAGTGGGTGGGTGCACAAACACACACACTCAGCCCTCTTTATACTGACACAGAGCTAGAAGACGTAATCAGAGCTTCACTTAGGTAAAAGTAGTACAATGTAAAAACAGCATGCATTCATTTGTAAGACTGAGAGTGCTTCAGCAGCTTAGAGCAAAAGAGACAAAAATAATAATGAGCATAATTAAAAATGATAAGCAGCATTGTCATGAGGTAGCTGGTAGAGGTGAAGCTATTAACCACTTGCCGAAACATCTCAGAAACTCTCTATCTAAAGACATAGCTTCTCTTGATGGCATTGCCCTGGCCTCCAGCACCACCGTAAGCAACCTCAGAGTAATATTTGAATCTTTAACCTCAGGGACTGTGTTCTTCCACCTGCATAATATTGCAAAAAATAGGTACATCCTGTCTCAAATAGATGCAGAAAAATTGGTCCACACATCTGTTACTTCCAGGCTTGGTTACTGCAATTCCTCATTATCAGGTAGCTCTAACAAGTCTCTAAAGACCCTTCAGCTGATCCAGAATGCAGCGGCACATGTACTCACAGGAACTAAAGAAAGAGATCGTAATTCTCCTGTTTTAGCTTCTCTGCACTGGCTCTCTTTAAAATCCAGAACTGGATGTAAAATCCTTCTCCTCACTAAATGGTCAGGCTCTGTCATATCTTAGAGAGCTCATAATACCCTATTATCCCACCAGATCACTGCGATCCCAGATGAAAGTTACATGCGGTTCCTTAAGTCTCCAAAAGTAGAAAGGGAGCCAGAGCCATCAGCTATCAGGCTCCTCATCTGTGGAGTCATCTTCCTGTTTCGGTCCAGGAGGCAGGCACCATCCCTACATCTAAGAGCAGACTTAAGACTTTTCTCTTTGATAAAGCTTATAGTTAGGGCTGGCTCAGGCTTGCCTTGGACCAGCCCCTAGTTAGGCTGATATAAGCCGATCAGCCAAAACATTAAAACCACTGGTGGTTGAAGTGAATAACATTGATCATCTTGTTACAGTGCAATGTTCTGCTGGGAAGCCTTTGGTCCTGGCATTCATGTGGAAGCTACTTGACCCGTTCCACCCACCCGAACACCATTGCAGACCAAGTAAACCCCCTCATGGCAATGGCACTTGTCAATGGCAGTGCCCCCCCAGCAGGACAATGCACCATGCCACACCACAGAAACTGCTCAGGAATGACCCGAGAAATGGGACAAAGAGCTCAAGGTGTCGACTTTGCTTCAAAACACCCCAGATCCTGATCTGATTAAACATCTGAGGGACGTGCTGGTAGAGGTAGCCCCAATCCACGGTGGGTGCTCCTTGGACCAGACATGGCTCTGACCTGTTAAGGCATGGACACAGAACCTCTGGAGGGTGTCCTTTGGTGTCTGGCACCAGGGCGTTGGCTTCAGATCTTTTGAGTCCTGTACGATGTGGGGTGGGGTACCAGCACACCCCAAGGATGTTTGATCAGATTGGGATCTGGGAAATTTGGAGGCCAGGTTGTCGCCTTGAGCTCTTTGTCACCTTCCTCGGGCCATTCCTGAGCAGTTTTTGTGGTGTGGCATGATGCACTGTCCTGCTAGGGGGGCACTGCTACTGGGGAGTGTCACAAGGAGGGGTATGTGTTCTGCACTGGTGTTGAGATGGGTGGAGCATGTCAGGTGGCATCCACATGAATGTCAGAACTTCACTGCATTGTTACAAGACGATGAATGTTATTAACTTCACCTGTCAGTGGTTTTAATGTTTTGGCTGTGTGGTGTGGGATCAATAAAGTTTTATCTTATCTTTTTTTTTAAAAATATGATTATTATTGTCACATACATATACCATCATATATTAATAATATACTATCAAAAACTACTATTATTATTCATATTTCTTTAATTATTGTTGTTGCTGTGCACCTCTGTCTCTCTCTTGCTTTCATTTTGTCAGATGGATTACTGTTATTGTGTTGTGTTGTGTCTGTACACATGACATCTATTGCACGTCTGTCCGTGCTGGAAGAGGGATCCCTCCTCAGTTGCTCTTCCTGAGGTTCTACTGTTTCTTTTTTCCCTGTTAAAGGATTTTTTGTGGAGTTTTTCTTTATTCACTGTGAGGGTCCTAAGGACAGAGGGATGTCGTAATGCTGTAAAGCCCTGTGAGGCAAATTGTGATTTGGGATAATGGGCTTATTAAATGAAATTGAATTGAAAACTGAATTCATGAACTGTTGCGTAGTTTACTTTATAACAAAATCTCATAAACATAACTAGGGCGAACTCATGCTTCTGATGCAGGTCTAAATTGGACCTGCACAACATGTTTATCCTTCAGTGTGCAAGCATGTGCGGCATGAGATGTTTCTGTTCTATTTAACACTGGTCAAAACACAGAGGAGGAATATTTCGTAAGAGACAGAACAGCTTTGAGTCATCCAGTTTGGAAACATCGTGGTAATCCTTTGGATTCCTTTGGTTGATAGAGTGCAATGAATGAAGTGTAGAACAATTAAACAAAGTCCAGCTTCTCCTGCTGAAACAAAGACAAACCTTAATCAGTGTTTATAGCGATTTAAAACAACTGCATTACTCTAATAACATCCAGGATCATCATGTCTTAGCTCTGTCAATCTTTTGCTCTGTTAATACACAAACTCAAAATGCTCTCTCCCTTCAGCGAATAATGGACTCAACACACTGCCACGTTCAACCAGAATGTTTACAGTTCCCTAATTCTCTGATGCCAGCTGATGAAAAAAAACTGTTTGTAATTTTTTTTTTATGAACTGTTGTCATAAAATAGACTCTGTACCAGACACTGTACCACTTTGGAGCAGCCCATAGGAATGAATGTGTTAAAGGGTGTAAGCATATTTCAACAAACTTTACACAGACAATTTATCAAACTAACTATGATAACCATCTTCAAAGCAAGATAGGAAGATATATTTCAATGTCTGATTATTTGTTTGACATTTAAATTCCAGTTTTCAGTCTCCTGTCATGTTTCTTTCTTGATATACTGTATGTTGCCACATTGTGTTGTCTTGCTGCTGGGTTGTTTGCGGCTTGTTGTCTTCCTAATCTCTAAATTCTGATTCATCCTCACTAACATCAACTGGGAGTGCTAATTTTATCCTCCTCTTCTTTGAAGAGTCACAGAATAATATTGCATTCATCCTGTAAATGGCCGAAAAAGAGTGTAAAATGTAAGCATGCAGTATGATCTGTAGGGAGGACTGACAAGCCTGAATTACAGTCTGAACTTTATTGAAACTAACATTATTAGACTTATCTAGGTTAATTTGTTGGGATAAAAAGAAATCATGATGCCTGTTGTGCATTTGGACAGTACATAAAACTAAATACACAATACTAGAAACTGCCATGGAGGGGTTCCTTTAACATGAGGTGTTGCTTCAAGGCATCATTTGCATTTTAACAATTTTCTATTACTTAATTACTTCACTCATATATTATTGTGAATCTTTTTTTGGCCAGATTGTTAAATGATGTTGTCAGACCATTTTTGTGGTGAGAGTTACTGGAGCTGAACCATCCTAGAAAGGTCCAAAAAAGGAACTCAACATGGGCTCCAGAAAGTCATGATATAATATCAACAGTGCTATTGGTTTCCTCAGGGCCTTGGATCTTTTTGTAAGTATTGCAACATAATTGAAGATGTATTGTGTGAGTGTAAATGTCCAAAACTGGATATGTTACCTCGAGGCACCACAGTGCCATAGAGGGCATAAGTGCAGTTATTGGTTTTAATTTATAACCATGATATTTTATTTTATGAGCACGTTGCATTTTCAATTCAATTTTATTTATAAAGCCCAATATCACAAATCACAGTTTGCCTCACAGGGCTTTACAGCATACGACATCCCTCTGTCCTTAAGACCCTCACAGTGGATAAGGAAAAACTCCCCAAAAAAACCCTTTAACGGGGAAAAAAAACGGTAGAAACCTCAGGAAGAGCAACTGAGGAGGGATCCCTCTTCCAGGACGGA